TTTAAAATCAATGAGATGGGTACCTTTAAGACGGTCCCAGACAACAGTATTTATAGTAGCCCAAAAAATCGGGGGCAGCCCCCTCTTCAAGGCTCATTTTCGCCCTATGTTTGCAATGGATTTCCATTGATTTATTTGCCTACGAAATCCTCAATGATCTCATAGTCATTGTCGCATTCCCCACCACGTCAGAAGCCCACACCTTGCGGACCTAGCTGTAGTTAATATTCTGGGCGGGACAGAGCATTATTTTGGCGGGTGATGAGTGCGATTGTGTGTATATTAGCGTCTGCTCGGGAATGTTAATAACAGCTGTGCAGCGGAGTCACGTGACACGGAATCAGCTGTTGATAACCTCTATTTTAGCACTAGCTGCTTTGACTATTATTGGTGAAATCTCGCATTATCCTAATTGTAAAGTCCCATGTTTTCTTGTGTTTTATGTTGGCTTTTGACGTTAGAATGTGATGTCTAACTATCCCCTCTTAGTAGTGTGACTTCAGTGAATTTTCCTTAAAGAAAAGAAGCTGTTACCATGCACATGGTAACACTTGGCCCCGGGACCGAATTAATTTATCGTTTTGATGTCACCAGAGGCCAAAAGCACCATTTATGTACGTTAGCACAACTTTAGCAATGTAAAAAACAGGGATACCAACATACGAGATCGTTTTATCATTAGTATTTCGCACTTTTAATTTGGTTGCGTTATTATTTCCTACAGCTTCTCTCTCGATTGCACACTTCATGTTCTCAACATACTGCACAAAAACAATCGTTTAAAATGTCTTTTACTGTACCATGATCTACCTACATAGTGACAAATCTAGCGTTATATCATGTAAGGAGAGCCCAAAGACCGCTAAAGTATTCCTGGACCAAAACTCTTAACGGATCAAAGAGCCGCGGAGTGTCAAGATGAAGATGAGACAAACATGACATTCTAAACTGAGACGTGTCATGACACTCGCCATGTGTGACTAAATACTTGGATTAGGATCTACTCAACTCCGAAGCTGAACAGATCTGACTGATTCCATATCTCAATCGTACCGTATCAACATAGATAAAAAATATTAAAAAAAACACACACTTTCCTTCCTTAGTGTTGGTCAGTCGTTGTATCACTTCACTTTATAATTTCACTATTTCAAATTTAACGTAATATGTTACAAGCGTATATAATTTGACACTATACACATATTGCCAGATATTAACCGGGCAAAGTATGAAATAGAACTCTATATTTTGCCTAGTTCTGTATACGTATAGGCACTTACATCCTACATACATATTTCAAATGATGGTTAACCAAAACCAGCGGCAAAGAACAAGCGTGTATTTCAGCCGTGATAAGTCGTGACGAGAGGTGTTAAGTGTCGGAACCGGAAGGAGGTAGACGCAGGCTTAAGGTGTTAGACACAACAATGTGTATTACAGCTGATAACGTCCCCCAGGCTTATCACTACCCCCCCCCCCAACAGCCCCCCAACCACCAAACCGCAACCCCCACCAACAGTAGGATCCTTGAAATCCAAATCCCCTCCAATAGTTCGGTAAGATTAGGCAAGATTAGACTGGGTGCTAATTGTAATTCGTTTAAGGGTGACTTGTTTAGAATTAAAAGGAAAAGGCAATTCAGTAATTTTGCTTGACAACAGCCAGAACTGTCAGTAATTTAAACTGGGGTGGAATATAGCTTACTTTATGCTAAATGAAAATAAATAAACGGTATCAGAAATATTACACATTTCCTTCCATCAACAAAACTTCATGGACAAGCGATTGGGGTAACTATGGTATTTTATTGCAACGTTGCAATCAATTTTGAACCACAATTTTACGTAAACCAGGGTTGTACCATTGGTCATTTTTTGTTATTTTATGGGATGTTATGGAAAAATCCCCCCAAAAATCGCAAAAAAAAACAAACCATCTGGAGACACCAAGGATTACCCATAAAAATAACATCATTTTACCTCAGGTGTAGCATGTAGCTCTGCATACACACAAGAGCATCCTTTGAGGGACCAAAATATATATTTCACCCAAAACTCAAAAACGAATGTTTTGAAGAAAACTATACTTTCTCCTAATGGATAGAGGCTTTGTCCAATCCACTACACATTCCATTTCCATTTTAAAGTTGTCAACAGTTAAATCGAAAAGGACGTGTTTTATGTGAGCCGCCGACTGATTGCGCTGATCTAGATTACTGATTTCTGACGCAGGATTTTTAACTTAGTCACATTAATAGGACGATTTTTTTGTGAGGTATCTAGCATATTTTAAGCCCCATCACCTATCTCAGTAACAAAGAATGACGACGAAATAGAGTTTTGGCTACTGGTGTAATTGATTTGCCTAGTAGACCTAATCTAACCTAACCTAACCTAACCTAACCTAACCTAACCTAGCCTAACATAACCTAACGTAACCTAACCTAACATAACCTAACCTAACCTAACATAACCAAACCTAATCTAACCTAACCTAACCTAATCTAACCTAACCTAACCTAACCTAACCTCGGTATCTAAAAGTCATTGATAGAGGGAGAAAGTAAAAACAATTGTATCCATAAACAACAATACTAATACAGTACTCCAAGTAACAACAATCACACAGCTTACACAGAGTTTGACAACAATCACAACGCTATCAACCGTAATCAGACCGATGTGATTTCCAACTTGGGGAGGACTTTTGGAATGTTACCCGAGATGTGTGGTGATTATTTAGAGGGGGAGGGGGGGGGGGTTGAAGTCTATCTGCCAAAATTGCTCCCCAGCCCCTCTAGCTGGAGACATTATGGACATTAAGCTCATTTTGTGTACGAGTTGGGAGCTCTTCTGTTTGCCCTTATTATAACTGGAACATGACCTGGTTCTATGATTATAGTAGCTGAAGTACCTTTATGTATAATATTTGCATAAGAATTGCGTTGTATTTAGTTTTACAGGAAAGGTTTTACCAACGATCACATGTTTGGACAATGTTGGTCTTTGTTGTTTAGTTTGATATTCAGTCATGAAAATAAAAGGTAATTTTAGTATACGAAGTAATCTTGATTTGTTTCACGTAGATTTTAAAGTTTTCCTTTCTAAGTTATTCATATTGAGTTTGTCGCTGTTGAATCTCGCACAATTTCATCTTTGAATTCCTTTTGTAATACCTAAAATACTTAAAGCATATTTTAATATATTTTAATGTTAGACAATGCTTCGGTTAGATGATGTCTACATGTTTCTATTTTATTCTAGAACATTTTTTAAAGGTAAATTTCACTTCGGTAGCCTTAAACCTAGCACTGAATAGCAGGTTTTAGATTTTTCGTCCAAACAAAATATCTTAATTTAAAATTTACTTAAAAGAAAAAACCTTTTAGGATTGATTACCAATATAAGTAAAAGTGCTGCGTATTTATGTTTTGGGGTCAAAAATGGGGAAAGCAAATTTTTACCCCATAAAACTCCGTTTATGCTTTTTCATCTAATTTTGAGCTTATAACCTCACTCCATTTCTTAACAAACATTTGTCTGCAAAACGAACTTTTACGTTCGCAAAAACGTCATGACAGCAGCAAACAATGAAACAGTTCAACAAACATACACTGAAGGCTTTAACTGTAAGATAATCGAATGTATTTGATTGGTTAAGCCACAAAAGCAGTCAGTTCCAACAACCCACCTGTAGTTACAGTAGGGGGTTTCTTTGGAAATGAAAGCTGAAGGGATGTTTTAAACTGTCAAAGCCTCGGCTGTCAATTTCATTCGAGGTTGTTTTTTGTGAAAAGCTTCCAATAAATTTTGTTCCCTGAAAAAGACTACCTCACCGTAAGTTATGAAGGGTTTTAGTTTGCTTGAAAAGGCTAATACGATCATATACCTAGGTTTAACAATAAAGTTATCATCAAAAAGGGGATACAAAATGAACATTCTTCGCGTGCATCAAAAGTTTTAACAAAATATGTAAAGTAATAACTTATTATTAGTGTACTTTATAACTTATCAGAATAGTAAACAAACTAAAAATCCTGTGTTTTCTTCATAAAGTTCGACATAATAACAAGGGATTGTGCTGCTAATGTAGGGAAGGGAAGTGCTTCAAGTTATCTGCTAAAATTGCTCCCCAGACCATCGAAACTAACAACATTACCAACATTAGACCCATAAATTACATTGTCTAATGGACCAAGACAATCTTAAGTATACGCTGCATTACTTCAATCTAAACTAATGCATCCAGAACTTCACAAAACTACACTATTTACTTTGTATACTGAAGTGAATTTCTGAATCATTGACTATAAATTATACTAACGTTTAACTCTCTGAACTATGTTTTTGCTGCAACATTCGAAAAAAAAACTAAAACTTTAAAAATATATTTCACTTTTATAATTTGTTTTGCTAGTAGTATTGAGAACAACCATTTGGTGTGTTACGATTGTGTAAGTGTACGGTATCAAAATGATTACCTGTAAACTCCAAATCTTAAAGTAAATTTTCCGTTTAACATAGCTAAACTTTTCTAACCAGTGAAGGAGACAGTCAAAATAAGTAATGAATACGACAATTTAGTACCAATACGAGATTACTGTAGGATCTTCAAGGATCGTCGAAGAAATTCAGCAGACGAAATTTACTTGTAAGAATAACCATTGGCATACAATTTTGATTCCAACCGATTCTTGAAACACTAGAGAGACAAAAGCAACTACTTTAACCCCACAACAGATTATAAAATACCGTCTTAGCTGCAGTCTTATGGAACTTGCCCGTACACTCTCTCTACTACAATCGCAAGGAGGAACGAGCTGGACTAGTAGTATAGCCCGGGACTTTTATCTCTGAGGTCTCGGGTTCAAATCTTGACAATCACCATTTTACCTAAGTGATACTGTCGCACTCCATGCCTAGCCTAAAGTAATAAGGTAAACCATCTCGGGCTAGAGCATATTATTTCAGGACAAAAAACCACGAAGAAGAACTTCTTACCTAGAATTCATCTCGTCCGGTTTGCTCGGTCCTAGCAGTCTTTGTTGTTTGTCCCTCTCTACTTGTTGTTGCTGTTGTTGTTGCAGAGTCTGCTTCTGTTGTTGCTTGTGCTTGGACAGTGCGAAGAACAGCCCCAGGATCGCCTTCAGGTTGCCATCTCGGATGTCCTTGGCGGTGATTCCGTCAAGAGCGATTCCCAGGCGGCTCAGTAGCGTCAGACATGCTTTGACGTTCTCTATCTGAAATATGAAACACACAGGTAAGTAATTTGATGGAAGTTTGGACCTTTTCCGTTAGTTACTACCACTAATTAGTATATTAGGTTAGGTAAGTATTAAGGTAACGGAAAAGGTAAACGCAATCGCTTCAGAAATTCTAACACGGATGATTTTAATAGGAAAAATATACACAGTCCGTATTTGTTATAAATAGCATATAATAGGCCTCTATAAACACTATCTTAAATTACTTAATATTATAAGGTTATACCTTTATGCCTTTACGGAACTTTAGCCTTAGCGCAAAGATAATTCATTGGAACGCCTTCATTTACAATGCGACCACTCACACTACAACTAGTTTTATGCGGGCGGCAAACTGAAGGCGTTTACATAATGTAATTTCAAATGCTAATCCATAAAAAAAATATATATTAAATGTTATTTTTATTTTTTATATGATGGAATTATTGAAAACTTATTGATTCGTAGCATCGGACTATCAATATGATTGCATTTTTTGTACATCAACAAATAATACCTACCTATCTTTTGTTGACTTTGTAATAATGAAAAATTATATATAATATTTTTTACGAACGTCTGCCATGTTTCCTTTTGGTAGGTCTTGGGTTTTTTGGACTATAACTTTTTTTATTTTATCTTGACCATGTACAATTAACACACTTTACTAAATTTTATCATTAAATTCATCTTTGAAAAAAAATCCACAAGTAAAAAAAAATTAAATTAAATTGATTAAAAGTTTTTAATGATTGAAACGTGTAAAAACATTAACTAAATATCCCTAATAGAAAAAATCTGTTTTTCATAACTCTCTTTAAAAAATCACGTAATTTGGCACTAAATTTTAACTAACTACCCTATATACGAGCCATAAATTTTTATCGTTGTAAACAAACAATTCCATTCAACAGGATCGTAAAATATTCCGCAACCGAATAATTAACTACCGCATGGCACGCCGTCGATACTGACATGTTTATGGTTATGACTCAATAAGCGGCATTGTTACTGTGTAGTCGAATTTCAGTAGTCGTGAATTAATCGATATACATAATCGTATCAGTATCGTAAATACCAATCGAAGATACATTGTTGAGATTAAATTATGAGCTTTTGTGTTATCGACTCAATAAGCGGCATTTTTAGAGACTGTGAAGTCGAATAGTCAATAGTCGTAGATAAATCGATATACATAATCGTATCAGTATTGTAAACATCAATCGAAGATACATTTTTGAGATTAACTTATGAGCTTTTGATAAGCGGCATTGTTAAAGACTGTGTAGTCGAATAATCAGTAGTCTTGAACTAATCGATATACATAATCGTATCAGTTTTGTAAATATCAAACGAATATACATCTATGAAATAATGAGCAGTTTTGTGTTATCGACTCAATAAGCGGCATTGTTAGAAACTGTGAATTCGAATAGTCAGTAGTTGTAAATTAATCGATACAAACAATCGTACCAGTATCGCAAATACCAATCGAAGATGCATTTTTGAGATTAAATTATGAGCTTTTGTGTTATCGAGTTAATAAGCGGCATTTTTAGAGACTGTGAAGTCGAATAGTCAGTAGTCGTAGATAAATCGATATAAACAATCGTATCAGTTTCGTAAATATCAATCGAAAACACATCTATAAAATTATGAGCAGTTTTGTAATAAACTACACATTGTGTAAGTAAGTTTTTTTTTGTCTTTCTCACAGATGTGAGAAAGTACCGATGCGACATAAGTTCGTCTCAATAAAGAAGAGTTTTAATATATTCACATTAATCAACAAATGTAGTTATAGCTAGACCCACATCTTCAGTGACAGACTGAGCTGCACTGTAGATACAGCATAATCTCAAGCTAAAGGAAGGGTTACATAGACATGCAGTTACATGTTTAGCAACAAATGTAACTATAGCAAGTGCTATACCTTTAGTCACCGACTGAGTTTTAGCAAGTCGCGTATCTTAGCAAGATTTAACTGCTTAAGATTCATTTCATTGCAAAAGCTGATGTAAAAAGTGCAGCTGTAACTCTAGCAACAGATGATGCAATAGCAAGATATATGTATAGCAACAAATACAGTTTGAAATGGACCGACATCTCTAGCAACAGATGGAGTTATAGATAGAACCAAAGATAGAACCACAAGTCTACAGACATATTGTGTAATAGCTAAAACAACAACCATACGAAGTAATAGCTGAACTATATGTCTAGCAACCGATGGGATACCTATATAGAAACTGAAGGGTTACAGATTTATTTATAGCTATAGCTACATCTCCAACAGATGGAGAAACAGCTATAGCTACGGACCCAGGAGACAATAGCTGCGTGGTTGCTGTGATATTGTCTGATGATGCAACCGCCCTCTGCTCTCCGACCTCTCAGCTGTAAGCCCTACATGCAGTTCTGTAGACACTGATACACTCCTGACGTGTCTATAGTCTGTATGATGGAACCTGTGTCCTAACACTTCGTCTAGACCAGGGACTGGCTCAGAAGCCCTACATGCAGTACTGTAGTCTCTGATACACTTCTGACGTGTCTATAGTCTGTATGATGGAACCTGTGTCCTGACACTCTGTCTACACCAGGGGCTGGCTCAGCTGTAAGCCCTACATGCAGTGCTGTAGTCACTGATACACTCCTGACGTGTCTATAGTCTGTATGATGGAACCTGTGTCCTGACACTCTGTCTACACCAGGGACTGGCTCAGCTGTAAGCCCTACATGCAGTGCTGTAGTCACTGATACACTTCTGACGTGTCTATAGTCTGTATGATGGAACCTGTGTCCTGACACTCCGTCTACACCAGGGGCTGGCTCAGCTGTAAGCCCTACATGCAGCTCGTAGTCTCTGATACACTTCTGACGTGTCTATAGCCTGTATGGTGGAACCTGTGTCCTGGCAGTTCGTCTACCTAGGACTGGCCCGAGCGTTGAATCATTGAGGTAGATGGAGGGCTAAGAGACAGGCTGCATCGGGCAGACTATATGTAGCCATTAGATCTTACTCTCGCGGTTCATATGTTGAATCAACTAAAAGATAGCTAACACCATTGAATTTTCATATTGAAGTAGACATCCCATTTAGATCCACCAGCTGTTTTATTTTCCTTCAATTAGAACATAGTTCAAATACCTTTTCCTACAGTCACCCGACAAAGTTGGCTTCCTTGTACTGTTTATAGTACAGAAAGCTGCTAATTGCTGCATATTTATACTTTGCCGTACGGTTTATACTTTGCCGCACATCAGGATTCCAACGAAACAACACAAAACAGCGTGGTTCTATTATGCACGTAATCCGTGTACGCTTGTAAATAGGTTGACAACACTTAAAGATAATAATACTATGAGCAGCTGATTGACTATTATAACTACGATTTAACCTGTCATTTCGTGTTTATAGTTTCGGTATTTCTGAACTTTCTGGACTTTTCTTTTAAACGTTTTTAAAACATTCCTACAATCTTAATAAACAAGAAAATACCTTTAAAGCAATTCTTTTATGCGCGGAAACCACTTCAAATTACAAAAACATACGGAACTATATTCTTAAAACGCGGAGCACATTTCTTCCCGAGGAAAAATAGCGGAGTGATACGGACCGCGGGTACTACTTTCTCTAGGGCACCATTTGTGTTGCCAGCTGAACCTTAAAACGTGTTGTATAGTGTTTGAAAGACTAATTATTTATATGCTTTATAGTGACTGTAGGAAAAATGTAATGTGTAACACGAGTGAAAAAGGCCTTTGCTGCACTCGAAATCATTCCAACATTGCTCTCGTGTGCAGCAAAGTGCCACTTTCACCACTAGTTACACAAATAACTATTTCACAAAGTGAGCTAATGGAAGAAATACATTCTTCCCTTAGTGGCTCAAAAAATACAGTTCTACGACTTAAATAAGCGAATAGGATGTGCACTTCTATTAATAGCCAAAGTTACCTCAAAAAAGACCAAATTGTGTGTGTTTCTTTGTATGAACGCTATTCACCCGCTTGTTCATCAACACCACTCTAGTCTGTTTGTCTTCATCATCTGTCTGTGTGTCTGTGTGTGTGTCTGTGTGCTAAACGCCCGTCTGTCTATATGCCTACCCTCTCTTGACTGTGTGCTTTGAACAATCAATTACAGTTGATCATATTCAGCCTTCCAACCGTCCTTAGAGCAGAGAACGACATTGTTGGTTTCTCTGTGCTTAAAGTAGATTTAGTAGTCACTTAAACAGTTCTCAAACGTCTTCAAACGAATTTATTTGTGTTAAATAAGCTAATCCAAATCAAACTACAATTACGGCAAATTTTCCTACCACTGAATGTATATTATCACGTTGCTACACCTGTAAGAGTGCGCAAAATATCTGTTTTCCGCTCAAGGGCGGGAATGACCATTTCCGCCCGCTAAATTAATTAATTTGTTGCGAGGGACCAAGTTAAAAGAGGAATCAATTACTTGTCAGGTTCAAAATAACCAATTTGTTAGGTAAACATACAAAAACGAAATTTTTAAGATTTTGTTGTCGACACAATGTTTTCGTTAAATGGTAAGGTTTTTAACTAGTCGTCTGGTATAAGGTTATATCTGGGTTACTACAAGCCTACTTGTCTTACAAACGCTAAAGAGCGTCTTAGGCAGAGCCTAACAGCTGACCCTAATCCTGCTTTATAGCTTACTTAGGCCGGGAAGCAAAGTCTATGTTAATTAAACTAATCTGAATAACACAAAAAATTACGGAGATAGTTTTCCCCGACCTTTGAAGTTTCAAATTTTCCAATAACCATTTATATAGTTTACATTCATATTGTATACTGTTCATCATAAAAAATATTGTTCTATTTCAGATGTAATCTTGCCATCACTTTTGTAATAAATTATTATATGCCTGACTATTTTCAAGTTAGTTTGGGTGCTATTT